TCGTCACACACAGAGAATATATGTCTGAGAGATGCCCAGCCCTAAATGACACATCTACAGTGGAACCTCAACACATAAAGCTCATGGAACATAGTGGACCAGGGAGCAGATAGAATGCTGAGATTTCATAACTCAAATTTAAAAGTTAACTTGGAGTGTTTGGGGTCTCATTCACACTTTTTGTAGCTTATGTATGGAGCAGATTAATGGAAGAAATAAACATCTAACAATCTCTCACCATAGTGAAGTTATCTTTAAATTGCAATATTTTTGTTTTAAAAGGTATTTATTTGATAAACCAAACACCTTACACAGCACTGTCACAATAATGAGACAAAGATACACATTTTTGCAAGTATAAACATCCAGATGTACTATTGACAGGGACATGATGATGAACAGATCAAATGTGTGTACAAAAATAGGTCAAAAAACAAAATAGTTGAGTGCATAACATGATGTTTGTAATTATTTGTATCCAGGTTTATAAATAGAATTTTCAGAAGTACCATATTGAACAACCTAGGTTTTTGATGAGATTTAATGCCATCATTAAACTTTATCTCTCATATACTTTTTGTGACTTGCTTAGACATTCTGCACCATGCTGCATCTTCCTGGTTTGGTCTTCACTTCTTTCTTGCTGCTTTGGAGCAATCTTTATGGAAAATCTACTATATAAATAATCCCTTATTTGAAAGCATTCCTTTTCGTTTCTTTAACTTTCACTTTCCCAGAAATATATATCATATCAATATCATTACATATCTTTTTAAACTTAAATTTTAGCTCATGTCAGTACCCAAAAGACAGACTCACTATGTGATTCTCTCAACATGGCCACATTAACTAATTTTTTTTCTCTTTGTCCTTTGACATCCTTGTTAATCTAATTTGAGCATTGGAACTGGTGGCCATTCTTAACCTTTCCTGGCAGCTAGATCTAGAACATTAATGTTTCACTTACAAGAACTAAAATTTTGAACTTATGTAGCAGAAACTGATTCATGTTGCCATCACCTATAATGAAATGTAGTACTATAAAAACACCAGCACATGCAGACAATTCATATTTACATATGACCATATGTTTAGAACAAAATATTTTATATTACTTATTTAGGACTATTTTCTCACATTTTTAACATTAGTTTATTGACAACCTCAGACTTGTATAAATGTATTGTGATCATAAGTCCCCTTTTTACCTTTTCTAATCCTCTTCCCACTCCATCTGACCTTTCCTTTTCCCAAGTAGTCTGCCTCTTCTTTCATATGTGGAGTGTGTGTGTGTGTGTGTGTGTGTGTGTGAGAGAGAGAGAGAGAGAGAAAACGTGTGCATGAGAGTGATAAAGTGTATGTGTGTGTGAGAGAGAACGTGTGCATGAGAGTGATAAAGTGTGTGTGTGAGAGAGAGAACGTGTCCATGAGAGTGATAAAGTGTGTGTGTGTGTGTGCAAGATTGTCGCAGCTGCTGTGTGTTCATTATTGCAATGGCCCTGTCGCATCCCGAACTCAGAAACTCCTAGTCTATTTGCCGATCACCCATCTCCTACAGTCTTTTCAGTCCCTTCTCTTGATATGATTATTCTCTCCATTTCATGAAGCAAACCTTAATTCAAAATCTGTTCTTCCAAATACACTACATCTAATATCACAGTAGAAGACTTGGATTTCAAAGACAAGGATCCTGTCTGATCATTGATAGCATTGTAAGCAGACTGAGTGAGTACCAATAATTTGTTTTCTAATGATCATTTTCCTTTTAGTTTTAAATTAGACATGATAAAAACCTCAATAAGCATATCTTATCTTGAAAGAAAAGAGTACAGGCGAAGAGGCGACAATTTTATATGTTATTGTTATATTAGAAAGTTTAAAGTTACCCTAAATTTGTAAGGACTAGCTACCTCTTTTTGGGTGAGACTTAGCAGCTTCTCTCAATACATGCCAGTGCAGTTTACCCACATTCTAGAGGCTCATGCATGTGGAGAATGTATTACCTGCAAATATCAGTATGAAAAGGAAATTTAACTTACACATCTTTGATGTACTTATCGCTTCACAGATATCAGAGCTTTACTAAAATCTCATATTTACTACTTGTATATTAAATAGTTCTGGAAATGAATCCAATTGAAAATTGATCCAATAACAGAATTTTAATGAACATTATCCATTGGTATTTGGACTAATATACTTTATATACTTTTATATTTACTATCCTTTACTATCTATAATAAAAATCAAATCAAGAAATTTAGAAATGATCCTTTCTTATATGAATAACTTTGGTCCTGTTTTAAGTTCCAATACACGTGAAATGTGAAATGGCATTATTTCATCTGCAGAGCTCATGATCAAGGGAATAGTTTATTACCTACAGGATAAACCCAAACCCCAGGAATGGAACTGCCTGCCATTAGTGAAGAGGGAGGATATGAGAGCACATGAGAACAGTCAGATTATGATGACTCAGAAGCTGGTGAAGCTCTGTGACAAGATATTGCAGTAAGGACATGAAGAGCAGAGTTACCTAAGAGAACAGGGAGTGTGAGAAGCTGCTGTCCTGTGCTGACCTCATCCCATACTTCGGTATGCCTACCCCAGTCACTTATCCCCTAGGCAGCACTCAGCATGAACCCCCATCCCATCAAGAGGCACCACAGCCTGTGTCTCCTTCCTCAGGTGCTGGCCACATAGAAATAGGATCCCGGGCTTTGATCACTCATCTCACTAAAGTTTGTCCCTGCTGGACCGACACAAGCCTTGGGTCCCTGGTGGGAGCAATGCTTAAGGAATGGTGATGGTGGAGCAAGATGCTGGGAGTCCATGAAAGTCTTCAGGAGTTGTGGTGCATGTGGGACATGATGGCTAGATAGGTAGACCCAAGGCCACCACATGGTGTCACTATCTTTGTTTGCACCCTGATGTCCACCCCATAGGCCATTGCCACACTGGTTGCCCATGTGGCACAAGCATGTCTGGTGTACTCGATGTGGGTTTTGTTCTTTTCTGGAATTTGCCATTTAGCCATCACTGCTAGACTCCTAAATGTTACTGCTGCCATCTTTGGCTAGCACAGCTGCTCTCCACCTGGATTGTGGTCTGAAAGTTGATGTCTCAGAGTTCAACGACTCTGCCATGATGTTTTAGGAGGACCACAACTCACCAGGTACACAACCCCAATTACCACTGCAATGTGACACACTGGGGGCCCACGGCTTAGTTGAATGTCATGACTAGTACACCTGCCATCTTCCTGTATGTTAGCGATGGACACACATTACAGTGCTGTGTGGGCTGTCCAGTCTCCTCACCACGACCTTGTGGCACAATGAGTCATAAAAGAATTTGAAATGAATAGATGTTATGCCTCCAGGGCACTGTCATTAGTCAGGGCATATTCCCAGTCATTGTCCACTTTCCCCAGGTAACTGTAAGTGGAGGAGGAGGGAAACAGATTTCCTGGTGAGATGGTTGCATTTGTTAAGCATGAAAGAGAAGGGAGGCATCCTGCGCTCTTTCAGGTACACGCGGCCACGTCAGGGCTCCTGTGCACCTCTGCCAGCTGCTGGGAAGTCATCTCTACATCTGGGTCTGAGGTCGTTGTGAGCTTCTTAGGACAATGAAAAGAATAACTGAGGGGAGGGAGGGAGGGAGGGAGGGAAACAGACCAATGACGAAAGGATTCCTTGAATTAAAGTTTTTAAGAACTAAGAGGCATAAATTCTACTTACTGGATGATGGTTTTGTGGTTGATAAAATTTTCCTCTTGACTGACAGGTAGACATTGGATTCAGAAAGGAAACAATGAAAGCAGGGAATTGGACCAGGGATATGTATATATCAGTAGAAATGGAGATAGTTCACGGGAACAGAGCTTCCAAGAGTGGAAGTGAGCAATAGATGGATGAATGTCAAAAGGTCAGCGGCCCTGGGCCAGAGGTTCCACTTTATGAGTCACAAAGCAGTACTTTTCCTGCATATCAGCATTTTCTTGCACACTCTGTCCCTTACATGTATTCCTTGGTCAAGAGTTTCCAATGTTTTTCTCTGTTACTGGTTTCTTTCACATCAATCTCTCTCTCTCTCTCTCTCTCTCTCTCTCTCTCTCTCTCTCTCTCTCCCCCCCTCTCCCTCTCCTGCTCTCCTGCTTCATACACATGCTGTTCCAAATCTGCAAGAAATCCAAGCTTGTCACTGCATAAAGAGACATTTTCACAGAGGATCTTGGAAGACCTAACATCTGCTCCAAGCAACTGCCTGTTTGTCTTGGATGGCTAAGTAGACACTAAATATAAATCAGTGGGGTCCAAAACAGCAGACAAAAATCCCCCACTGTTATCAACTGTTCCATCCATGAATGATGTTGGGTACAGGAGCATGGATGGGAGCCACTACTTGAATTATCTCTTCAAGCAAAGGCCTTGTTCATGAGCCATCCCGATTCCTTGTAATGATGTACTGCTATGGGGTTGCTATGGTCTTCCCACCCCTGATGAGTTAACTGTGGCATCTCAGGGTGCTTGGTAAATTGGACACAAGAGATAACAGGTATGTAACTTATCACATTCAGTACTGCAGTTCTTACAGCACCAGGTTGGCTCCACAGTTTCCACATCTTCATTGGACATACCTGGCTGCCAACAGGGCTCAGGGCAGGGCAAATGGTCTCCCCACTGTACACTTTCTTTCAGGAGAACAAATGTAAAATAACACTCTCAGAGATAGTTGGGATCTCATAGGACTGAAGTCTCGGGCTAATGAATGTGAAAAACAGGAGTGCAACACTACTCATGACTGAGACCCATTATCTTAAATATGGTCACTTTTACCAAACTGTCCCCCAAAAGTCACATCTGCTCTAGGAAATGTGTTCTGTGACAGTGACCACACAGTTACCTATATATACCAGGAAGACATGCAAATATGGCCCCACTCTGCCGATGAAAACCAGCCTAGTCCTGACCCTGCAGCTGAGGCAGAGGAGCCCAGCTCTGGAGTCCCAGGTGTTCCCATTCAGTGATCAGCACTGAACACAGACTCACCATGGAGTTGGGGCTGAACTGGCTTTTACTTGTTGCTCTTTTAAAAGGTAATTTATGGGGAATAAGATGCTGAGTGTGTGAGTGGACAGGAGTGGGAGGGACAGTGACCATGTGTGACAGTTTCCTAACCAGGATTCTCATGTTTACAGGTGTCCAGTGTGAGGTGCAGCTGGTGGAGTCTGGTGGAGGCTTGGTGCAGCCTGGAAGATCCCTGAAACTCTCCTGTGTAGCCTCTGGATTTACCTTCAGTAACTACTGGATGAGCTGGGTCCGCCAGGCCCCAGGGAAGGGGCTGGAGTGGATTGGAGAAATCAAAGGAGATAGTAGCAAAATAAATTATGCAACCTCTGTGAAGGGCTGATTCACTATCTCCAGAGACAATTCCAAAAACACCCTGTACCTGCAAATGAACAATCTGAAATCTGAGGACACAGCCACATATTACTGTACTAGGCACAGTGAGGGGGACTTCAGTGTGAACCCAGACATAAACCTCCCTACAGGGCCTCACAGTACCACTAGAGGGCGAACAACATGCACCTAGCACAGGTTCAGCCTGTGACTGCATAGACAAAAGGGCTTTTTTGTCTCTTCTGCCTTTTCTTTGATAGTTTTCCCCTACACCCTCTCTTTGTTCACGGTCCATAGGAATCCATAATGCCTATGAAAACAGACTTTCGTTGTGTTTTGACTTAATTAAATATATAATGTGTTTTCTCCTGTTCAGAGTGCTCAATTGCATTGATTAGGGAAGAAGGACCTCTGTGATTGTCACCAGGATCAGATGCAGAGAAAGTTCTGGGACGTCCTATTTTTCATGAGATTTTTCACGACATATTTTAATTGTCCTCCCCTGAAGACCGTGCATAACAGGTAAGGTCTAACCAGTTAATTTTTTTTTAGCTAATATATATTCCATTTGCATGACTTTCTTCATTACATCTTCATTTCTGTTTGATCAAGGGGAAAAAAAGTGCAAATTCTAACACTTTTAATTTTTTAAGCTAATATATATTCCATTTGCATGACTTTCTTCATTACATCTTCATTTCTGTTTGTTCAAGGAAAAAAAAGTGCAAATTCTAACCCTTGTGATCTGAACTTCAGGCACAGCCAGTTCCTGAGTTTGCTCAGGGATGGCTTTAAGCTGTGGCTCTTCAAAGACCTGGAAAGGCTTCTAGGACTTGCCCTGTCCCCATCAGGAAGAGCTCACTGGTTTTTGCTGTACATGGGCTATTTTGAGAGGTAAAAGTGAACATGGTTGATCGTGGGTTAAGAATGACAGTAATGGAGGCTGGAGAGATGGCTCAGTGGTTAAGAGCACTGATTGCTCCTTCAGAAAACCCGGGTTCTAGTCCCAGCACCCACATGGCAGCTACAAACCATCCTTAACTCCACTTTCAGGGGAATCTGACACCCTCTTCTGACCTCTGCGGCATTGCACAACACAGGTGCACCCACATGTAGGCAATACACTCATACATATAAAATAAAAAATAATAAATAAAATATACTTAAAAAAAGAATGATAGTAACATTAATTGTGCTGTGAATGGAGGTCTCATCCTGCTCTGCTCAACCTGTCCCGAGTCACCTCCTTTCTGCATCACTTTGGGAAATGACTAGGACACATACTTGTGCTCAGATCCATAGGTGGTCAGCCCCTAGGTCTCTGTGTCATGTCATAGTACCTCCACGGTATCACCATCACCTCGGAACTGCATGCTATGGGAAAGTCTCCCAAGGTGGTCTTGTGCCTCTATTTTCCTGGCACAAGTCTCATGGCTTTACTCTGAGGTTTTGTTTTAGAGTTTGTGTCCTTGAAATAATTTACCTGGCATTAAAGCAGAAAGGAGGTTGGATACAATTTGGCTCATGTTTTCAGAGGATCTGTTCCACCATAGATGACAGGGAGAAATCCTTAACGAAGTCAGATAAGCACAGTGATAGGCAGATGCATAGGTAAAGAGACAGTAGATAAACAAGATGGCAAATTTCTGGCTTCTTCTAAAGAAGAAGTACAAAGAACTAGAACACTTTATTCATGTCAGTAGGTTACTCCTTCTGGCTAAAATGCCAGATATGTCAACTGAGCCAGTCAACATCCCAGCATGGATTTCTGAGGGCTTCTGAGGCCCCAACTGAGGAGCTATTGGAGTCGGTGGTTTCTAGGGGGCAGAGAGTCATTTTTCTTCAGGAATGTGGCCCCTGGTAGGTTGGCCACTAACAGTGGACAGCCCCACAGCCATGAGAATATAGACAGGAATGATTGGAATAGGGATATTAATAACAGGAATGAAAACTGAGGATTTTTCTGTCTTCAGCCTTGACCCCTTCTTTGTATTGCACTCATTTTTAGTGAAATGGAAACACACACACAGACACACACACACACACACACACACCAGTTTCACTAAAATACATAGACTTTCTTATTTTGCTCTGCAAAGATTACTATATTACATCATTATGTAAAATAGAGATTTTCTGCCCACCAACCACAAATTCTAATATATCTTGTCTACTGCTTCCCAGTATATTCCAGAGATATTAGAAGACAAAGCCCGAGTGTTTTGAGCCTCTATTCCTGTCCAGCATTCCGGTTTGGGTGCTTGTAGTGGCCTTATGGGTTTTGAAACAGTGCTCCTGGTTCTCTTAGGACAAATGTATACTGTTACTTATGTCAATGAATACAAGGAGTAATCTTTCCTCGGGTTAAGGTTGTAGTGATGTTGGTCATGAGGTCAGTGTTAATGAGTAACCATAAAATGGCTCCAGAAAGGGAAAGGGTAAATCAGCTGGCTTGAACTTTGAGGTCACTACAAAAGTACTAAAGTTCTCAACAATGTAGCAATTGAAGTTGTAGAAGATATGGCAAAAAAAGAAAAAAATCTTACCAATTCCCCGACACAACAGATTGGTACTGGATATTTTTCTGTTTGTGATAACTTTATTTAACACATGTATTATAGGAAAGGAAATCGGGTGCATTTTTTTATTTAAAATTTTTTATTTATTATTTTTATTTTATGAGTATAAGTGTATTGCCTGCATGTATGTGAGTGCACCCGTGTTGTGCAATGCCTCGGAGGTCAGAAGAGGGCTTTGGATTCCCCTGGAACTGGAGTTAAGGACGGTTCGTAGCTGCCATGTGGGTGCTGGGAATCGAATCTGGGTCCTCTGCAAGAGCAATCAGTGCCCTTAACTGCTGAGCCGTCTCTCCAGCCCCTCGGATGCATATTTTATATGTTAGAATGTATTTATAAAAATGCAGAATTGTCTTATTTCCTTCTCATATCTTAGTTAAACAGCAATAATGTTGCATTCCCTCTCGGGTTTAATGCTTCATTATATTGTAATTGTTGGGGTTTTCTTTTTCTGAATTTGTTTCCTCTAAACAGTCCTTTCTTGTGCCAGTGTGTAAGACAGTGTGCCCTGTGGTTATGCTGCTTCAGGAAAGGGACCGCAGGCCTCCCTGCCTTACGCTAGCTTGTATTTCATACCTTCTCCCACATCATCCTGCCTCTGCTGCTCATGCTTGGACTCAGCCTGGCTAAGCTTTGGGTTTCAGGTTAGTGCTGTGTGTGTGCTCAGGATCCCCACACCGTGTGCAGCATCTCCACAGCCTCTATTCTGGTGAAGACCAGAAGGCAGACAAATGCAGTGGAGAACCATCTGTGATGGTCATTTATTTGGTTTGAATCACTGAGGTTTTAAAGCACGTAGTGAGATAATAGCATATAGATAATATGATCAATTAGGACACTTACAATGTCCATCAGAAATTCCTGAAGTAGCCCAACAGAGAGAGCAATCAAAAGTAACATTATCAAATCAAGTGCCAACTACAGCAAAAAACAACTGGGAAATCCTTTTGAGGCAGTCATCTGGAGTTCTCAACTGTGTGTCCTGAGTGGGGCAGACTATTTCCATCCCATCAGGCGAGGCTTCCAAGTAAGGAACAAATAACAAACAGCAGATAGTGACCAAAGCATCCTTAAATCAGGTGTGCACGACAAACATGCAGCAGTAACAACTGATCATAGCCCAAAGATAGAGAAAGCAAAAGAAACATTGTATGTGGGGCTGGAGAGAAGGCTCAGCAGTTTTGAGTCCCCGCTGCTCTTCCAGAGGACCCGAGTTCAGTTCCAAGCACGTGTTTAGCAGCTCACAATCACTTGTAACTCCAGCTCCAGGAGAGCCAATGCATTCTTATGGCCTCTACAGAGACACACATATATATGGATTTACTCATTTCTCATGCAACCCATTTGGCACACAGTTTCAATATGCTATTTTATATCATGTCCATGAAACACTAACAGTGTAGTGCCTGGATTAAAATACAGCATCTAGCTATTAAGCAGCTCACAATCACTTGTAACTCCAGCTCCAGGAGAGCCAATGCATTCTTATGGCCTCTACAGAGACACACATATATATGGATTTACTCATTTCTCATGCAACCCATTTGGCACACAGTTTCAATATGCTATTTTATATCATGTCCATGAAACACTAACAGTGTAGTGCCTGGATTAAAATACAGCATCTAGCTATTACTTTAAAATTTCTTTCTTGGGCTGGAGAGAGTGCTCCATGGTTAAAATTCTTTCTTGTTTTAACTTTTTCTATAAAATTTTGTTCTAAGTTGCTATATGTCCTGTACTGATTTATTTAATGTTTATTTTTAATCAATTTTTTCTCCATGATATAAGACTTAAGATGTGAAGTTTAAATTATCAGATCCTGCTTCAACTACAAAAATCTTCACAGTGAAAACTTAGCTGTTACAGAAGTTTATGCTAATTCTTTCTTTTCATGTTTTACATATTCACTGTTACTAACATGACAAAAGTATAGGACGTGTTCATGGACATTCTGTCCTAGTTTAACATTGAAAGCATGACACGGGTGCACTTACCTACATGCAGGCAATACACACATACACATAAATAAAAGCAATACATAAAAAACTTAAAAAGCAGTTACAGACACATAGCATCATCACGGCAGCTTAATTTCTCCATCTCTCATGGCCTTGAGCTTCTAATCAGACTCCCACCTCACAGGTAAATTTCCTCACTGTGTGCTCTGGCTGCTTTCTTTCTGTCTTTCCGCCACTTTGCCACACAGCTTCTACAGTGTTTGGAGGATTTGCATTTTCTGTGTTGCAACTTCCCAATATCCCTGTCTGTGCTGGACAGCTTCAATTGTCAGCTTGACACACCTAGGAAGCAGGAACCTGAACTGAAGCATTTCCTCCATCGGATTGGCCTGTTGCCATGTCTCTGGTACATATTCTTAATGTGGAAGGGCCCAGCACATTGCGACAGGTGCCACCTGTGGGCAGCTGATCCTGCATTCTGTAAGAAAGTAGGCTGAGAACAGGCAGTGGAGTAAGCCAGTAAGTAGCATTCCCCCATGTTCTAGGCTTCAGT